TTTAATGATAAAAGCAAATTGAAAATCCATTAAAACAAGACTGACTGGAGACTTGACTAGATAGCATAATTATTGTCAGTTCCTCAAACTGGATTCTGTTCTAGATGCAGCATCTTTAAAATAGGAACCATGGCTTTCCATGACTCATATTCCACTTGTGGCAAAAATAAAGAATATACATTTAACTTAAAAGCAAGGAATTGAGCCCTTTATTGTCATATTCGTAGAGCAAGTGTTTCTTAGCTAGTCAGCAGGTCTAGTTTACCATGGAATGATTGGAAGTAATTTTGATCAGGGCACATAAGTAAGTACAACATTTTATTTTCTCTCTTTGTTATTTTAACAAACATATCACTATTCTAATTAATTTTAGAGCACTGGCTTCTAATATTCTTGTCATATGCAAGAGGTTGAAAAAGAGGTTGCTAAATTTTGTCTGAGACATGAGGTGAGGGATGCTTGGCCGGCTCAGTTGGTAGAGCATGGGATTCTTGATCTTGGTCTTGTGAATTCATGCCCCACGTTGGGTGTAAAGATTGCTTAAATAAATAAAATCTTTAAAAAAAGAAGAAGAAACGAGATGAGATCATAATAAATATGTTCTCTCTTGTTGTAATGACAACTAAGTAAATATTTTTATGGTTATTATTCTGTTTATTATATTTTAATGTAATTTAATGCTAAGAGAATGGAAAGTAATATCATTATAAAAGTAATAACAATGATAATAGCATAGTAATATAGACCATTTACTGAAGACTTAATATTTGCTAGTTGCTCATTTCTTTTCATCTTTACAAGTTGTTGAGTTAAGTGCTCACAATTGCTACATGAGGATACCAAACCCCTTTTGAGTTTCAGTGGTTTCCTGTTGTCACACAGCTGGTAAATGATGATCAGGAACTCAGTGGCAACAAATGTGAATGTGGAGACAGTACTCCTTTGGCCCTAAGCTATAAACTATAGTTCCTCTATCAAAAACTAGGAGTGACAAAACAATAATGTAGTGAGAAAGTCTTTGCAAATGCATTTTAGTCTATCCAGCATTTGATTTGGACATCTAAATTGGCAATAGTATTTTAAAATTGAATATAAGTCCTAGATTTTCACTACCCTTGTATCATATAATAACTCCCAAGCCACTTCTCTTTCTGCCTTTCTACCTCATCTGACATAATAAGGGAGCCTATCAAATGAAACCCCTATATTTTTTCTTCCCTTTGATAATCAAACTATTTACAATGGGAAATATATTTTTCCCTTCTTTGTTAAAATAAATGTTTTCTTTTTATGTATACATTTAAGATTTTTTTGAAATGAGCATGTAATTGAACCTGAGAAATACCAAATTTAATTTTAATGGAATGTAGAGTGATAAATGAATTTTTAGATCCAGTTTTGAAATAAAGAATGATTTGTTGTCATCTAAAAATCATACTCAATACTGCAAAATGATTTGGGGTCTTATTTTGTCTATAAGAGCTGTGGTTGATGCTTCCCAGTCTTGAAATGGATTCTCAATTGTTAGTGACAACCAAATATATTATGCTTATGATAGTGTGTATTTTCCCAAGGATGTTGAAGACATTTTAGGAAAGAGGGTGGAATTTCTTGAAGCAATTTGCCAATATGAAATACTGTACATATCAAATTGGCCCTACTACCATCTTTCCCAGACCATTTATCATAGCTCACAAATCAAGCCCACATTTTCTCTTTCTAAAAGACTTGGCTAATAAAGAAGATATGGGCTTCAAATCCGAACTTGTCAATCAATCTTGGGAACAAATGATTTTCATCTATTGATATTTTATTTCAATGAAGAGCAATGCATTATGAATTTATTGCTTGTGTGATCAACAGTTTTATTCATTGTCCAGATTCTTTTCTTTATATTCAGCATGTAGAGATGTTTTGAGAATTTTTATCAGAACAGGTCAGAAGAAAAAGATCCATAAGAATAAATTTTAGAAAGCTGTCAGTTCTATCTGTTCTTTAGTTTCAGCAACAAGTATAGTTTAACAACATTTTTTTCTCTTTCATCTGTGCAACATATTGTACCAATTTTCATCAAAAAAATTACAATTTCTATAGGTGTGTGTCTCTAGATACCCTTAGAATTCTGCTCTTTGACCCTGGGAGTAAATTGATCTTATGCACACCTGTCTTCCTTAGGAAACTTGCAAACTTCATTTTTGAACTGAGCATCAAAGAGATATGATATTATTAGACAGTATAGAGCTCAGGTAAAAAGTCCAGGAAGTATCTTGAAGTGCTTGAAGTTTTTGAAAGGTGAATTATATTATCTGCAGTGAAGAACTATTTAAAATAGTTCAAATGCTGTAACATAGTTTTTATTATTATTTTAAAAGGTCAGATCCACTGTAAAAATTTTAAGACAACATTTTTCCCTTCTGACTTAGAAATTTTAAAGCCATAAATTTCCAGGAATTTGTGTAGCAATGGTACAGTTTTCCAAATAATAAGGACTAATTAAAAGAGTAGCTATGTTCAATTAAATCTTTTCCCTAGCCGTTCTAAGAAAGCAAGCAATTTGCGTGACTAGGAATTCCTTGTTTTTATTTTCAAGACGGAACAATGGATTATAAAACTCTTGCCTTGCACAGATCCTTCCAACATATGTGTAATACTCAGAGATATCAAGAGATGAAAGCTTTCCATGAAATATTGTGGAGCTTTTTAGACCAGAAATAGCAGATCTTTTAGACTGTCGAGCAACTCAGATCAATTCATTAACTTAAATTGTGTCATTTTATAATAATGGAATTGCCGTGCATTTAATTATTATATAAGTATAACTAAGAAACTCTGGAGTCCTACTTTTTCACAATTTTAGTAAATATTTTAAGATTATGCTTCATTTACTGCTAAGATAAAACCAAATAGAAGTTACTTATTCTATATTTCATGGGACAGCTGTTTATTAATCAAATTTCAATGCCTTTGGGTTCTTAGATTTGTTTTCTTAAAACTGAATAATACCCCTTCATTTCCATGATCTTATACCTAAAGTTTGCTATAACTAAATTTATTGAGATACAAATATGAAAGAAGAGATACAATTTTTAATATATCATAAATATAAATTTATAGTCTCTTTGAGAATGAGATAAATGTAATGTTCACTAATAAAAATTCACTTATTCACTTACTAACCTTTCGAGGTAGAGGAGTCATCTTTGGGAAACTTCTGCTCAACAGAAAATCTGTTCAGCTATTACTTTTGAAGTTCAGGGCTGAAGTTTACACCATTTTCTGGTAGGCAGGACTTTCAGAAAATAGTCCAAGTCTTTGCATGACATCAGACATCTGGATGATAGACTCAGTTTTCCATATTTCATCCCAATGATTTGATGTCATGTAGATGAAACTTGTAAATCAACATCTGTTCTCATTTATGCAGACATTTAAACTCCTCTGGCACTCTTCTAGAAGGGTGAGGACTTTTCCTTGTATCTGTTACAAATCTGCCCATCTTTCTTGTGGGCACCACAGTCTTGGGACTGGTTGTCTAAACATCTTCTACTCTAAAGAGCAGCATTGCTGTTGTAAAGCCATATGGAGGGCAGTGGGTTTATGAACTACATAACTTCTAATGGGAAAGACTTAGAAAAATAACCTTCTTCCTATTATACTTCCATTATATTTTGCATATATATTTCCATGATATAGTGGCTGTTATATTTTGCAATTTAAAAAGTAAGAGAAGAGGTATGATCTTAGCAGAATTTTAAATCCATCTACATTTCAATTTGGAGATATTTTGTATACCAAGACAATTGTGGAAAAGTCCATCAAGAAAATAACATCTATACATTATCTGACCTATTAAGAAAAGATACATATTGCTGTACTTGAAAACAAAATACTGTTTTACCTAGGATGTGTATTTTTGCTTGGTCCATAACTTCTTGAAATTAAAGCCATATTGGAGTTACTGTAATATACTGAAGTTCAGAAACAAATCAACATTTTTACTTGAACAATAGTCAAAGGCAAAATAGTGAAGGGGAGTTTATTTTCAATCCAGAGCAAGAATGAAGCAGACATGAATTTATAATTTAAAAGTTTTGTAGCCGAAAGAAAATTGGTCACTTGACCCTCTGCTTTCAGTTTCAGAAAAAGTCTCTTAGACATTAAAGTTCCCACATCAGGCTTCTGACTTTGCTATATATCCAAGTTCTCTCCTTCGTGCAAGTTTCTGATACTGTTAATTCCCTTTTATAGTGCAGGATTCTAGATTGAAAATAACATTGCAGAAATTATTCAGTGATGCCTTTTTTGCCAATAAATATAATTACACCAATATAATATAATTTATAGCAGGTGAAAAAGGCAGGGTCAGAAATAATAAAATCTGGTGAGTGTCATATTTTACTGATTTAGTGAAAAATTGTTTGATTACATTCTGAATTTTTCAGAGACCTGAAGTCTGCCAAAGTTTGTTAATATATTCCACTTAGTTTGGTTTTTTTGAGGATATGACAGTCGATAAAAACCAAATAATTATATGTAAAATCCAGATAAAAAATATTTAATTAATAGGCAAGAAGGAAGACTCACCTGTTAGTTTAATAGTGTCAATTTTTTTAAAACTTAAGAAATTAATATTTTGTCTTCTGAAATAGCAGTGACCTATATCAATATCATTGCATTATAAATAATGTTTGCTATATATACATACATACCTGTATACATACATATAATTGCATTATATAGAGATACATATATGTATATGGACATGGCATATATACACATTTGCCATAAATATATATATGTGTGTGTGTATGTTTGTGCTTGTTTTTGTGTATAAGATGTTTGACACAGTTCTCTAAACATGCTTTTGAAGAAATTAGTATGTAAAGATTTCCTCCCGTTATCAGAGCTGAGCATGAAATCCTGTACCAAATTTGAAGGACTTATGAAGCCCAATTTAAAATTTTGTTGTTTTATAATAACTTTGGAAAAGTGCATTGTTCCTTGTAAAATACCCACATGTTCTCCTCTGGAATGGCTCCAGACTGTAACTAAACCACGAGGTTGCCCCCTGGTGCTTTATGTATTGTTTAATTGTTTGCCTTTGGTGGATGTTTTTATTAAAAGCCTATTATTTAGGATAAGACCAAAGTGTCATTTTAAGAACAACAGAAACAGAGCTGTTCAGTGCCATAGTTCTTTTTCATAGGTGTGTTAGTGAACACTGGATGCAGCTAATGAGCCTGCCGACATTTTTCTTGTAATACTTCAAAAAGAGCAACAACAACAACAAACAAAACCCTGGATTTTTATTTTTCTCCAATAAAACATGACTGGATTGGCTTAGAAGAGCTGTGAGTCTGTATGGCTGTGCCCAGGGTAGAAGGGAAGAAAGATGTCAATATGTGTTTATTGGCTCTGTTTGTGTTTGGTCCGTGCTAGCCTGGAGTGTCATGCACTTTGGTGCTTGTGGCCATTTGAAGACTGGGGAGCCCGGGGCAGGGAAGTCCACGTGTTGGGAGGGCTGTGGTGGCATCCTGGGGTGGTCGCCAGCCCATGTGTGCTTTGGTGCATGTCAGAGCTTTAAAGGAAGTTCTTGACGTCCAACTCCTCCCCATAGTCCGGTTGCAAGGTAAGTATCATTCTGAGCTTCTCAGATCACTGTGAATATATATAAATTAGGTCTGGGGAAAGGTTTTCATTCAGTGTTCTTCTTGAGCATTTTCTTTTCTGAAGCGGCATCATATTATCACTCACTGATTTCTCAGAAGTTGGTTCTGGAAAGAACTCACGGTGTTCTCTAGCTGTTCCTTGCCACAGAGAGCAAGCAAGAATTCGATTAGTCTTCCTCCCAAAGCACTTTTTGTGACTGTGACCCACCCTCAGGCCAAAAACTCAAAGGCACTATACCTCGATATAATTTCTAGGACTTAAATGATCTCATTAAATTCCGATGTTAGATATCATGTTGACATTTGAGGAAATATGATTATTGACAAAATGTAAGCCTGTTATACACTATATCACTTCAAAAGGAGAAAGGCCATTAGGGCATAATTACATCAGAAACAGTATACACATTTGGCTGGTTTATAAACTGTCACTTTCAGAAGTACGAAGACGTATAAAAATTTCCAAAGGTTCCATTATGACCCTATTTCCAACAGTATTCTCTGACAAACTAAATAAATTACTGCATATATTGGACCTTTGAGGCTTGGGGCAAAGAATGGAAAAATTATTTACAAAAGCTTGAAAATATTTAATCACTAGAGGCAGGGGGGCAACAGTGTTTTAATTAGCAGGTCCTCAGGCCATTGGCTGACTGGAGGCTTTCTCAAACAACCACACAAATGCACTGAATAGCTGTTTGCCAGCCTTAGGGTCAGGCCTGAGATGAAACAGATAAGATAATTGGCTCTAATGAAATCCAGAAGGCCTTGGCTTTCTTGTCTGAGCTTGGATTTGAAAAGTGCGTGTGGAAGTGAGGCTTAATTCAAACCAGAACTGAGCTAGGCCCGTTTCTTAGTGACTTTGATATTGTTTGAAGTTCTAAAAGTGTTCGCCACACCACTAGCCTGCTGGGCTGGGCCTCCCTGGTACCCTTAATTACTAAGCTTTATTGCTGACTTTACTACACAGGAAAGGGGCCATTATATGTTCCATCAACATCAGCTCTTCTCAGATTGGAGGAAAGGACAGGGTTAAAGGCCACTGTAGGAAGGCAAAAACTTCACTTTGAGGTAGTCAGATCATTTACCAGTGTTGAATTTCACCGTTATGCCCATACATTCCTTACAACACAGAAGCCCAATTTCCATTTTTTAAACAAGTGATTACTTTTCAAAACATTTTTGTTTGTGCCTGTTTCTTGCAGAAAGAACATTTATTTTTAGGGGCTAAAATGATTGCACCTGATATAGTGAAAAAATTTATATATACAACACCTCCCAATTAATCATCACACCAAAAAGGTCTGGCTGGATTCTGTAATAAGGAGGATTATTATTAATGCCCCTTTGAAGTGGAAATAAGTGAGGAACCCTCCTGTGGTGTGAGAGTTGTCCTGACACCCTGAGGAATAAAGATCCCTCAGGAGACTGTACAAGATTAAAGCCCTGCTTCTAGAGTCTTTCACAAAGAGGCTACACAAAAGGGTTCCTGATCCAGTCCAAAGCCGAGAAGCAAGGAAAATTGAGGTAGTCTCCCTCTTACGGATTGGCTCTAGTGTCACCAGGGAGCCCATCCTCTTGAAGTTTGTTGGTGTTCCTCTTTTGCTCCAATTGAGAAAGATGGTTTATGCATCTTAATGAAGTAATAATTATTCAACCTTTAGCCCTCTATGAGGAGACCTGGACATGCCATAAAAGCCAAGGGGCATGGAATCAGGGCCTATTTCCTGTCTTGTTAATCACTTTTTGGGTAAGAAAGTCATGAATGATCCATCTGACTTTGCTCCTTTTGAAATAAAGTTAATTATTTTTGCATTATTTAAGTAAACTTGACATTAATGTGTTCTAATTTCATGCATGATCCTGGTGACCATTCATCCAATACTCCTTTCTGAGTATTCTTGTGCACAGGCTGGACTGGGCACTAGTTCTCCATAAGGATATGGCTCTACCTACGTAACCATATGGAGAACTCAGGGCAGTCAGTGTTAGGAAGACAAAACGGAGCCTTTACTCCCTAATCTCTCCTAAAAGAAATTAAGGAGGTCCTTGACAGACTTTTGCCAGTGATGAACCTGATACCAGCACACACCAGAAAAAAAGAAAAGAGTCTTTGAATACTCAGCTAATTGACAATATTTGTTTTTTCATTATACACTAGTTTGGGTTAAAAATGTCTCCCCAAAATTCATTTGTTGATGCCCTAACCCCCAGTGCGATGGTATTTGGAGTTGGGATGATGAGGGAAGTAATTAGAGTTAGATGAGGTCGTGAGGGCAGAGCTGTGATCTGATGGGATTAGTGAAGAGACACCATAGAGCTTTCTCTTCTCTCTTTCTCCCCCTGTGAGCATGCACCAAAGAAGGGCCATGTAAGCACATGTGGCACCCTAATCTCAGACTGCTAGGCTCCAGAATTGTGGAAATTTCTGTTTCTATTGCTTAAAGCACCCAGTTTATGGTATTTTGTTATGGCAGCCTGAGCAGGGTTAAGACATCTACCACAAAGATCTTTGGGAGACCAAACAACCCAGTAATGATTCTAAATTTGAGATACCAATAAAAGGATTTTCTACACTACCCTCCGCTAAACACTAGATTCAGGGGATGCTAGCAAGTGTTTCTCAACAATAATAATACCCTCTGATGAAAAAAAATCTCCCCTTGAGGATGAGTAATTTGCAAAAGCAAATTTAAGACTTTAATAATTTTCGGTGTTAAGGAAATCTATCTTATATTAATGCATTGTTTCCTCAAATTACTTAAACATAGAATGCCCCGCTCCTCAATTTATTTCCTCCCAAATAATTACAAATATTATGGAAACTAGCATTCAACAGAACATAGTTTGGAAAATTCTGACATATAGGGTACAAATGGCGTTGTAAACAGTTCATTATTAATGAAATATGATACAAAAGTAAATAAAACACATTGACTCTTACCATTCTCACAAACAATCTAGTTAAAAATAAGTGCAATATATTGCATAACATGTTACATATTATTTATAATATATCACATTATTAGATAAACTGAGCACTTGGGTGACCCATATTCTACAGGTTATCTTCTCCATTTTCCTATGGTTTCATCTGAGTGTTTCTTAGATAGCATAGAGTCATAAAGCCAAAAACGAAAGGAGAAACAGAGAATCAACAAGAGAGGGAAAGGGAAAAGAGGGTCAGTTTTCTTTGATATCACTATTAAATCATCCAATGAATTTTCTTAGGGTAAAGTTACTGCCATTCAAAATTATAGCAAATTGGTTATATTTTACAGTCACTGTATATGTTTTGTTTCAGCTTAAATATGTGCACATATCTCCCAAGCTTACTTTAGATCAGATATGACACATTAAAAACATGGATTTGTTTCTTTTTAACTCTTACAAATAGCAACTAATTGCAGTGTGAACATATAATTGGTTTTATGGTAAATCCATTTATAGACTTACAAAGTTGTAAGACCTCATTTGTTATTCATGACTGTTTTGCTGAGGGAAAAGGGGGGAAATTAGTTTGTCTTTATGTCAATAGGGAGAGCTTTAATTAAGTGAGTATCTTTTGTGATAAGAAAGCACACCTGAAATAAGACGGTAAATGTTAAAACATATTACTTTTCTGGTTGAAAAAAAAAGTGGCTTTGGAAGTGGACCCTGTGGCATCATGGTGTGGCCATGTCATTTTGTTTCTAAAGATAATATTTCTAGATGTACAAATATTCTGAACTTTATTAAACCGCAGCTGTGGTTATCAGATATTTATTCAAGTGATATTACAATTATCAAAACAATAAATCAACGAAGTCCTTAGTCATTTGCTTAAAATGCACTTTCATTTTACTGCATGTATAAGTACTCAACCAATGTCTTTAAGGTGTCCATGTTGGTTGAATTATATAAGTAAAAGAAAAAAAGCCTAAATAAAAACACACAAATAAACAAACAAACAAAAAAAGTATTTTTTCTATCAAAGAATTCAGACAACATGAAATAGTATTATGACAGAGAGACTTTATGACATTTAATAGAGTCAAAAAAAAGAAAAGAAAATACTTTTCTTGAATAATACAAAAGAATGTACCCTTCCTTGGCTAAATTGACCCTCACTCCAATATGCTGCATATGGGATGTGCTTGGGAAACCATGGTGTGGCTGGGTTCCAAATGTGATGCAGACTCGTACTTCTTGTTCTGGGAAAGGCAGATGTGTGACAGTTCTCTCCCCAAAATGACAGTTGAGAGAATTCTTCCATGGAATAAACCTACAAAATGTTTCCATCCATGAATCATCAATAGCTTTTACGTGGACCCAGCATAACAAAGAAGTTTCTCTTTTACCAAAGTTCAAAAGCTCTGCATCTATTGAAGTATATTTTTTGTCCTTAAACATTTTTATACATCGGACAGGTTACTTATAAGATCACACAGGAAATTAGTGTCAGGGCTAGAACAAAAGTTTTAATGTTCCCTCACCATTAATTCAAAATGGGAAACCGAATGAGTGCATTCTCAAGACAAACTTGAATGGATTTAGAAGTATACTGAGAAGAAGCCAATTCTGGTTGCAGTGTTTCAGTTTGCCCAGCAGTGACTTGCCTCTTCTCACACCGGATTTCTACCAGGGGGATCTGTGCTGCAGTGCCTGCCTACAATTTCTTTGGTGCTTTGCTTTATGATTATCTCTTGGTAATTATCATCCTTTATTTGCCTTCCCGTGAAACTGCACTTTTAATTTTCAAAGGGTACATGTAAAAGGTTAAGACCTGGATTTATATGATGTAATTCTTCTGAAATTTTAGTCAGTGTATTGATTTATATTACATCATCCAATCAACTTTTCACAATTCTATTAGCATGGAATGTCTGTAATTCTGTCTTTTAAAATACATTTATGAAAGCAAACAATTTTCCATTTTCTTTCTTTTACGAAAACATCAGCTCAAAGTTGGTTTCCTGAATGCTTAGATTCATTAGACTTTCTTCCTCTTTGATAATACAGGACCAGCCACTCAACAATGCCTTCTTCCTTTCTGGCAGGCAGGTATGCCTGTGGGGAAAATACCATAGAAACTGAGGTTTATTGGAAACTTGTCCCCAGATAAAACTCTCCCTAACATGGCTCCTGAGTGTTACAGAAATGGCATAGCTTTGTTCTGACTGCCTGATCAATGTCTCAATTCAGCCTTTGGAGCTTGAAGCATGTTTCATAAGTAGTGGATGTGCAGAAAGCTGCCTTATAAGTAACTGACCTAATATGGGCTCAACTGTAAGCTAGTTGCTATGTAGGAAAATGCAGAAGTATCCCACAGTCCCCCGAGAGAAGTTTACAGTCCTGGTTGGGAGAGAACATTACTATGAAACAAAGAGAATGAATAAAGCCTGCAGAAAAAGAACACAGGATTGTTAATTCAAGCCTTATAAACAGCCCCCACTTCCTCAGGCATCCAGGGAAGGATAATTTCGTACAACACAGTCATGTTAGCATTACTACTCAGGGGCAGACCCTGTTTTATGGGTCTCAGTCTTGTATAATCATGGGGACTCTCAGAAAAAGAATACAAAGGAAAAAAATTGAAAAATAGTTATAGGGCCTTGGAAAGTGTCTATGTGAATGAGGGGCTCTGGAAATTAAGCTTCACAAGCTTAATAGTAAATATGCCTTGGTTCATATCACCCTAATGCCTTGGACTGCATGATTTTGGAATGAAACAGTGTACAACATATCATGTAATGAGCCTTAGATAAAATTAGTGGCTATGTTAGCTAGTAATGGGAAGTAGAGACATTCTACAAGGGTGGAAAATTTCTTAGAGAAACTGCCCTGACGGAGAATGCTCCTGATATAAAAATTCAACAGGTGTGCATTTTTCGTCCTAGGGCACACACCAAGGAGATCAAAGTAAAGGATTTTTTTTCCTTCTCTTTCCAGTATCTTTTAAGGTAGATTTAAAATGAATGAATGAACAAATGAATGAGTGAATGAACGACTGATTAGAAGGATCCATAAAGGGAAAATAATGACCTCAGTTCAAACAACAAAACAAATCAAAATGGGGGTGGTGAGAGCAACCAATGTTTGCATGGGAAGTACACACTTTTCTTTTGGTTTTGGTGTGAGGAGTCTGCACCTGTTTGTGAAAATGTTCAAAGTCTGGACTGAGGCAAGTCCTTGAGCTGGCCTGGCTCTGACTTTCCTTCTAAGGGGTAGTGTTGCTTTAATATGGTTCACATGTAGGGTGTTTCATCTTAACCAGAGTGACTTATATTAATGAAATGAAAGAAAATATTCTTGACATCCCCAGTCTCTTTTAAAAAATATTAAACATGTCCAGGACTTTTGTATGAATGCATTTATTAAAACAAATGGATACTAGCCCTTTGGCCAACAGATACATGAAAAAGTGCTGAACATCGCTCGGCATCAGGGAAATCCAAATCAAAACCTCAATGAGATACCACCTCACACCAGTCAGAATGGCTAAAATTAACAAGTCAGAAAATGACAGATTTTAGTGAGGATGCAGAGAAAGGGGAACCTCCTATGCTGTTGGTGGGAATGCAAGCTGGTGCAGCCACTCTGGAAAACAGGACAGAGGTTCCTCAAAAAGTTGAAAATAGAGCTACCCTACGACCCAGCAATTGCACTACTGGATATTCACCCCAAAGATACAAATGTAGTGATCTGAAGGGGCACATGCACCCCAATGTTTATAGCAGCAATGTCCACAATAGCCGAACTATGGAAAGAGCCAAGATGTCCATCAACAGATGAATGGATAAAGAAGATGTGGTATATATATACAATGGAATATTATGAAGCCATAAGAAAAAAAAAAAAACACACGAAATCTTGCCATGCAACAACGTGGATGGAACTAGAGGGTATTATGCTAAGCGAAATAAGTCAATCAGAGAAAGACAAGTATCATATGATCTCACTGATATGAGGAATTCTTAATCTCAGGAAACAAACTGAGGGTTGCTGGAGTGGTGGGGGGTGGGAGGGATGGGGTGGCTGGGTGATAGACATTGGGGAGGGTATGTGCTATGGTGAGTGCTGTGAATTGTGTAAGACTGATGAATCACAGACCTTTACCTCTGAAACAAATAATACGTTATATGCTTAAAAAAAAAAAAAAAAGACTTTGAAAGCATAATGTCAAGACTGAGCCAACAGGGCACATTGGCTTTATTGGCTTTATCTTCCATGACCTACTTGTGATGTCAGGTGCTTCTGTCCAGACTTTTCTTCCTGTAACTACCACACTCCTTGGCTTCTGTGGGGTGCCCACCTGGTTCTCCTCCAACCTCCCTGATTTTTCCTGGCTCTCCTTTGTTGACTCCTCTTCTTCTTCCTGCCCCTAAAATCCAGATGTGCCCTGACCCTCTCTTCTATTTGACATAGTCCCCCTTATCCACTCCCATGGCTATACACAAAATAATCCTTAAAGCCATACTGTCCTTCCAAACTTTTTGCTTGACTGCCAGTGGACATCCCACAGACATCTCAAGTTCCACTCTTCTCAGACTGAAGGGCCTTGGAATCCTCTCAGTGACACAAGCACCAGACCCATGGCCATTTCCGTTGTTTTATCTCACAAACTCTAGACTTAACCACCTGCACTCTAGCCTCCATGCTATCAATCAGAAGAATGTTCCCCAAATCAAAAGTCCAACAAGCATTGCTTAAAGCTTTTCAGCACACCCTACACTCCTGCCACAAGATGGCGTGAAGTTCAGTGAATGCGCCATTTTGTCTCGTATGCTCTATCTAGTAGAATCCTTTGAATTCCTTCACATCCAGCTCAAACTTTGTCCCCACAGAGGCATCTCACCCCGTGAGGAGGCTTAACCATTTCCCTTGTTGGCACCACGGTTCCTTGTAGCCACCTTTACCATAACTCTTCCAATCACAGATATTTGTGTATATATCTCTGTCCTACTTTATTGTAAGTGGTTTGAGACAGGAAAAATTTCATTCATATTTATAAGTCTCAATACCTCATGTCACACTTTTCACATAATAGATGCTCAATAAATATTTACTGAGTGTGTAAATAAAAGAAATAAATGGAAAACTTAAAGGCATTCCAAAATAAATGGGTAGGTGACCCTGAGTAGGGTTAAGTCCATTAGGAAAAAAAGAGTTTGGGGTTTCCATACCAATTCTGAAAATTCTAAACAACCATTAAGATCAGACAGTGAGCATCAATTCTAAGGTAATTTATTCTGTGATTTAGACTATTCTTTTGTCTGGCTTCTGAAAATTTGATCCTGAAACCATGATTCTCAAAACATATTAAGGACATCATTATAAATCTGATATTAACCCTCCTTGTGACCTCATTGGAAACAAATTATGTGTCATCCTTACCTTTAAAGTATCTTTGAGAATGTTAAGATTTAAAAATTTAGGTTCTGTTGTGTGATTGGTATTACAAATATAGAACAAATAATTTCAACAGAACTTAAAGCAGCAGAAATATTATTTTCAACTATTAGATTTCATTACTGTACATATGCCTGTCCCTACACAGCACTATTATGTAATTAAATTCCATGGAAATTAAACAAATCAGATGAATAAAATTTTTTTTTGAAAGAGCTAGCCTGCATGAGCAGGGGGAGTGACAGAGTGAGAGAATCATAAGCTGGCTCAATGCCCAGCAGAGAACCCAGTGCAGGGCTCAATCTCATGACCCTGAGATCATGACCTGAACAAAAATCAAGAGTCGTACACTTAACCTACTGAGCCACTCGGGTGCCCCCAGATGAATAGATTTTTTTTCAAAATCAGTTGATTGGATTTTTCTAAGAAGTTACCTATCTGACAAAAACAGGCAAAGAATAATTCACACGTCTGGTTATCTCCGGGGCTTATTGAACTATAATTTATTCAGTTGATTGTGACATTTAGAAAAACCAGAATTAGCCAAGGAAAAAGTTTACTTGCTAGGACCATATTGACATACTTTTAATTCCACTAGTACAAGTTAGCAGTAATCTATTTTGGGGAGACTTTAAAGTCGAGACTACAAAAGTAAAAGTGAATAAAATTTTTATTAAAAAAAAACTTTTTGTCCATTGTTGTGGGCAGATTTCACGAGATCTGTACCAGAAATTTGCCCAATGTGATATAGCCATATGTATTTGGTAAGTCAGGTGGCAACTATATAACACATTCCTGAAAAATGCTTAGCTTCTATCTGCTGGTTGATATGTCATTACACTGCCCTACATTAGCAACTGAAAAACGATAGTTTTATTTTAGATATCTTGGACATATATATATTAAGTAAGTGATATTCTTGTGGGTCTCATGGTAGTGATGATAATCATAATGATGTTGATGCTGGTCATTTAATAAGTACTAAGATTCTTATTGTATCCTACAGCATCAAAAATAATCTATGACACTTCAAGAGTATTATCAATTAGGGAGTGACTGGGTGGCTCACTTGCTTAAGTGGCAGACTCTTGGTTTTGGCTCATGGGTTGTGGGATCAAGCCGTGCATCAGGCTCCACACTCAGCACAGTGTCTGCTTCAGATTCTCTCCCTTTTCCTCTCCCTCCTACTCTGCCCATCCCCAGCCCCCACTCACACACATGCTGTCTTTCTCTCAAATTAATAAATAAAATCTTAAAAAAGTATTATCAATTAGAAAAGGAAATTAGAAGATGGGTCACTACGTGGGTAAAGAAAGTATAGAAATGGCTAAATGAGGACAAATAAAAAAACAGAAGAAAGGAAGTGAGGACAGAGTATAAAGGCTTAAGTATGAAATGCCAAAAGAAAAAAATTAATGGAGGAAAATGTAAAAAGTCCAGTAGAGGAGTAAATAATCAAATTAGGGGTACTTTTTAAAAAATGGATGGGAGTAGGGAGCCACTACAACAAGGAAAAAACAAAAATTGAAAATGCCATTATTTCAACTGCTATAATTTATGGTCATTGACATTATGGCTTTTTTGGTCAGTATATTTTGTCATTGCATTTAAAACCCCAAAGAAGGCAATGTGGTCAATGTCTGTACAAACCAATCAGATCTTGTGATTGTTAAATATTTTGAATATCACCAAAGTTTAAAATAATGCTTTTATAAGGCAATGGGAAAACTGAAGCAATTGGTTGCTAAAGAGATTGGTGTTGGATTTCAGAGGTAGATGGAATTAGCTAGAAGGGATCCTTTAATCCCACCACACTCTACTCTCCAAAGGCAGAATCTAAAGCAAAAGGACATGCCTCCATCACACAGCCAGTGAATTGCAGAGCTAGATTCAAACACAGATTGTCTGACTTCAAGCCCAGGGCTTTTTAAACTAGATTACATACAGCAAATTTTTCTAAATATATGTTCCCCAAAGATCTATCTTGCCCAGCGTTGTGTTATTGTAGAGAAGTTTGAAAGCTTGACTAATTGATTAGTGGCTGTTCT